TCATTTATTTATTTTTATCAAATTTGAATCATATTGTTTTAAACCAAGTATCTTCAATCCTTTCTTTTGAAAACAAAATTCTTATTTCTTTTCAATTTAACCTATGAACTTCGCATAGTTTCCTCATTTCTTCAAAATGTTCTTCTTTTTAAATCTTTTTTCAATTTAACAGGCGTGAAGTAAAACATACATGGACCATTAATAGGCTTACCTGGATGGTATAATTACACAATGTCATCATAACATCCTAATTCGTAGGTAAATTTATTTTAATTTATTAAAACTATGATCAAATTGAAAGAATATATAAATAAAATAGATTATTTGTGTAATTATACCATCTAGGTAAGACTATTAAAGGATGTTAACAGTCCATGCGTGTCTTCCGTGACGCCTGTTAACGGCAAGTGACTAATTTGTAACAAACGATAATGTTAGTGACTGATTTGTGACTTTTAAAACATAAATGGTGAAGACAAAAACTTATCTAAACATTAGTGACCATTTGAATAGTTTACCCTTAAAAGATTAACCCTCGAGTATTAGTCCTTATTTGAGCATTTTAGTCTTATTTATTTATTCGGACTGTTAAACTATGGTCGAATTCTACAAATAGACTTTGTACTTCTCATATTTTGTGAATCCACCCCCTCAAATATAGAAAATTAGCTGCTTGGTTCTATTCCTGCATAAATTGAGGGATTGGGTAAGAATACATAGATAGCAGTTTCAAACTGTTACCCCACCAATAAACAAAAGAACCCTACAAACCCTCTCTGCAAAGCTCGCAAAAAACCAACAAAATAACAATTTTTTTGTTTGGTTGAAAAGAAAATCAAAATCAAAATCAAATGGCATTGACAACCTCCAATGTTCTTCACCGCCCAAAACCCAGAATTTGGCAGCCAAATTCTATCCACAACTCTTCAATCTCCAAGCTATCAACTTCCTATCTCAGGTAATGCTCAGTCTAACTTTCATTAACTACTTTTCAGTTTTCTTTTTTTGTTTTGTTCCATTTATTGGTGATTGGGTTCTTAGAAATAGTGGAAAAGGCAACGAAAAGAATGGAATATCAGAAAGCTTTTATTTTGATGTTGAATTTTTGTTGGATAGTGAGTTGAATTTAGCTAAAAGGATAGAATTAATCTCCATATGAAATGAGCTGAATTTTTGAATGAATCTTTTGGGATAATACTAATGTCACCTTAAAGATTCTAAACTTTAATTCATTTGTATGTATATATGTGTGTGTGTGTGTTCTAGAATTACATTGAACACTAAGCATGTCGAGCGTCATTTAATAAGGTCATCTTTGTTGCTTTAACTTTTCATTTTTTCTTGAGGTGCTAATGTCCGAAACGTATATCCGATGCATATCTAGATTTCAGATATGAACACCAAGATCCTCTGAATACATGGTAGTACTTAGAAAAGTTGAACATAACTATGTCGGATGTATACTCGTATCTAATACTTGCACCTGAGTACTAGTAACATAGAGCGTCATTACTGTCATGTGATAATTGAATTTTAGCTTGTTTGGTCTTCTTTTCGCTATAAATGTTTGTCGTGTCTGACAAGTTCTTGAATCGATCAGGTTTCCTCAGAGATTTTCTTTCCTGAAGAATAAAATCGTGATACGTGCCGCTTCATCTGCAGCAGGAAGTTCTAATCCTGACAGTGACTTGAACCCATATGAGGTACTTTGAACTCTTGCTGTTTGGTTCATTCGGAGATTCGAGGACCGAGCTACTAGTGAATGGATTGATTAGCATTTCAAATTTCTTGTATGTTTCCAGATCCTTGTTGTGAACCCTATCGAGGGATTTGAAAAGGTCAAGCAAGTATATACAAGAAAACGCAAAGAGGCTGACAAGAGAGGCGATGAGGCTACTGCTGCACTTGTAGGTTATGACTCTTAAAATCGAAGTGTTGTCGAGAAATAATGTCCACCTCATTATATTTTGAATTTCCATTATAAAAATCTGGAATAAAAGTTCTGCTTACCTTTGTGGTACTTACCGTTTGCTGATACATGTTGTCCAGCTTGAAAAAGCATACGACAAACTCATTATGGCGCAACTAATGAATCGGAAGAAGGGTGTAACATACGGTTCATTTAAGGTACGTAATTGACAATCCGTAATGTATTACCTTTGTCTGATATATGAAAACCACATTACATATTTAGTTTTCATGCTGTTCCTTCCCCTGTATTGAAAGGCTTTTTATTGATCATTATGGTATAATCTCTATATTGTTCAGTGTTGTACCTTGTGTTTGTCTTAAGCATATCCTTATTTATCTTTAATGTTTTTTCCATTCATTTTTTTCCAGGTATCGAAGGATGTGAAATATGCTGATAAGCAGCCGATTGTACCATGGGGGCCAAGTTTTCGTAATTACTCATAAGTAGAAAATTTCTGTATTAGACTGTCTCATGTTGATTGCCTTATACATGGAAAAGGTTAAAATAAAATTGAACATATACATGTGTCAGACACATCCATATCCAACACTCATACCTAAGTCCGGGTAACATGGTTTAACACCCAGGGGTTTGTTGGTGATAACCGATCATTTTAAGAGCCAGAGAGCTACTCATGGTGGGGCACGAAATATAGATAGTCATCCCACAGTAATACTTGTGGCATATTCTATTGGAAAACTTAATGTAGTTTATTTACAAGTTATGGTAGGGAAAACTTGCATTTATTTTGGCTCGATCTTACTGCTAATACTTGATATACTCTTGTGAGGAATTCCAATGTGTTTCAGGTTCTCAAAGTCCAGTGTTCAAGATATGCGCATCAACTTGGCAATTTCCGCTGTATTTGTGAGTATGATGGATACCCGGCAACCTTATTGCACCGATTAGCAAATCCGTAGATAATGCTGTATATCCTAAAGGAAGTGGACACATGCTTTCTGCTTTTAAGCCATCAATTTAGGCTTATGTCTAATGGCAAAAAGTGTAGCAGCTACGGTGCAATCCAATCGCTTTTGCATTTTCTATCACCTCATTTTTTTCTTGTTTCTTTGCAGACAGCTTGGATTTTAATCAAGCGCAATGTCGAATATAAACCATTGCAGTTTTTGGCTTTTTCATTCGTGTATCGAATTTTTGAGAAGCTGAAAGCCTTTGAATCACCTGTATCACCGACGTTTACCGTGCGTCATATTTAAAGAGCTTAAGTCCATGTTTTATATCTTTGTGATATCACATAACAAGGAACTTGTTTCGACTTTGATCATCACTTTCGTTTCTTCAAATTGTTGATTATTGAATTTTGATGTTCGACTACAGGAAGAAGGTGAAGATGATGGGCGGGGCATCCGAATGGGAAAAAGACTTCTCCGTTCTCTTGCACTAGTTTTCGGTTCTATTGCTTTGGCCTCTCTGGTACGAGATGTTGCTCAACTTCAAATTCCATCTTCGCTAAAGTTGACAAATTAAAACCTTACTCCTTGGAGTCCATAATTAGATATTTCATTTTCGATTATACGATTTTCTTTCATGTTTTCATTCGTTTTGGTTGAATCATGTCGTTTCTAGCTCCATTTTCTCCTCTTAGTAGCATCGTCAATAACAGTGTAGTTGTATTCTTGCAGGCATACACAGGTCTTCTAAATTTGATCGAATACATCGGCGGTTATATACCCATTTTTTCTCTACAACAACCAGGTGACAATATTGAACTAATATTTAACACATGTTTAGACATTGGTACAAGGATACGATCCTCCTGAAAAAATTTAGAAAAACGAACAAACCCTTACCCGATACCCGAAAGCCCGAGTATCATAGCATATGTTCAGTACTTGGGCCTGCCTCCTTTGCTTCCGACCATGCCGAGTAATGAATTTTTATGTGCAGGAACTCATAATGACCACCGCATAAGCAGTTTCGCTATACATCATGGCGTCATACTATAGGTGACGAGTTTAATCAAGTTCGGGTCGAGTTCGGATATCCGTTTAGCAGTTCATAGTTTAGGAGCTTGTTTCATTTTGTTAAACTTTAGCTCTCCAATTTTGTCAAATAAGATGGAACTTGAGATGGAAAACATAGATTTGCGTTAGAGTTTGTGAAAGTTCTTGCTATATTTACCATTCAACCGTCGATTAAGCAAAATATATCGTGTCGGTTTAATCGTAAGTCGAATGTCTCGGATTATAATCCGAAATAAATCCAGCTCAATTGATAAAACAATAGTATTGAATTGGTAAAAGCTGATTTTGAAATTTTAGGGAGGCGAGAATATATTACAATAGAAAATATAAAATTATTTTAAAAAATAAATTAAAATAATTATAACATAATACATGTTCATAATTTTTTTAGTCACGCACATACGAAATAATTCAAATTTTGAACCTCACAGAAGAGTACCACTCAAACAAGTAAGTACATTCTAATCATTAATCCAAAGACTTTTTCTCACATTTATAAAAATAAGCCGTTATAATTTTATCCTTTTTTTTTATCCAAATCATCAATAAATTTTAAAGTTAATTTCTTTTATGACTTTTCAAGTATTCCTGATCGACGGCCCACCGTAGCTATTACCGTCTTTATATAGAAAAAAAAATTAAGGATAAAGACGAGCTAAATTGGCCCACTAATTCATATGTGCTGGATTCTTTCATGGAAACCAAACATGTGTAGTTGAGGTACTCCATATGTGAAGTCTAAGTCATGGTGTGTACATAGTCTAAAATAACATGCATGCACATGTAATAAAAATATAAAATTTATGAGAGAAAAAAAGAAAAGAAAAATCCATGAAATTCCAAATTGGGGTTTGTTGAATTCTGGATTGTTGTTCAGAGCTTCGTAAGCCATCTATTTTTTTATATAGAAAAAAGTATATCCAATATGAATATTGAGAAGAATAAGATGCCAAAGTTATTATATTAATATTTAAAGTTGGTTGGTTGAATTTTGTTGTGTTGCTTACAGCAATTTGGTTGATTTTGGCTATATAAGAATACGATCTTGAGTTTTCCGGAAAAATCAGAGAAAAAAATTGGATTTTTTCCCTTTCTTTCTGGGGTTTTAAGCTAACCAGGAAGGAAGAACTTGAAAAAAAAGGTAAACATGGCCTATTAGTTCAAATTCTTTGATGGATTCTTTTTTTTCTTTATTTGTTGGTGCATAATTTCTCGAGTTTTCGATTAGTTCAGGGTGTTGTTGGTATGATGATGTCAAAAATTGTGGCTAGAACGGTTGATCTTCGATCCGATACGGTTACTAAACCGACCGAGGCGATGAGGGCTGCCATGGCAGCTGCTGAAGTTGATGATGATGTCCTCGGTACTGATCCGACCGCCTTCCGGTTAGAATCGGAAGTGGCGAGGATGTTGTGCAAGGAAGCCGGTCTATTTGTCCCATCGGGTACCATGAGTAACCTCATTAGTGTGCTCGTCCATTGTGACATTAGGGGAAGTGAAGTCATTCTCGGAGACAATTCCCATATACATATCTATGAGAATGGTGGTATTTCGACGATTGGAGGTGTGCATCCAAGGCCGGTAAAGAGCAACGAAGATGGAACGATGGACATCGGTTTGATCGAAGCTTCCATTCGAGACCCTAGAGGAGAGCTTGTGTACCCAACTACAAGGCTGATTTGCTTGGAGAATTCGCATGGGAAGTAAGATTATCAAATTCTTTTTAGTTTCTGTTGGTATGTTTTAGTATGTTTTCTGTGGCTATATATACTCCGGGTTGTGTCTCGTGATCTTTTATCGGGTGGTGGAGAATCGGAAGAAACCGATGACTGTTCTTCGATTATTTGTTTCACATCGATGGCAGTAATATCGTTTAAGAGTTCTCTTCGACTTAATGCAGCACAGGAGGTCGATGCTTGCACGTGGAGTACATAGACAAAGTTGGTGAGCTAGCTAAGAAGCATGGTTTGAGGCTTCACATTGATGGGGCTCGAATTTTCAATGCATCTGTGGTGAGTAACTACGTCTCTGTAAGCTTGTATAACCCGTCTTTGATCTGTGTGTGTCCGTGTAATTGAAATTGATGCAACAATTCCATATGCCAGGCGCTCGGAGTTCCTGTCGATAGGCTTGTACAACCGGCCGATTCAGTCTCGGTATGCTCTGTGTCAACATTGTTGTTTATTTCATCTTGCCTTGCAATTGGTGTATTACATATAAAGGGACTTTCTTTTTATCGTTTGAGGCTTCACATTGATGGGGCTCGAATTTTCAATGCATCAGTGGTGAGTATCTTCGTCTCTGTTCGCTCTTATAACCAGCCTTCGATCTGTGTGTCCGTGTAATTGAAATCGATGCGACAATTCCGTCTTCCAGGCGCTCGGAGTTCCTGTCGATAGGCTTGTACGGCCGATTCAGTCTCGGTATGCTCTGTGTCAACATTGTTGTTTATTTCATCTTGCCTTGCAATTTGGTGTTACATATAAAGGGACTTTCTTTTTATCGTCTTTTCCGTCGATTTTCGATGCGGTAGGTCTGTCTATCAAAAGGTTTGGGTGCTCCGGTTGGATCTGTCATCGTTGGTTCGAAAACCTTCATTGCCAAGGTACAAAAACAAGTAGTGCAGGTAAAAATTTTTGTACTTTACGAAAATTTGTCGTCAAAATTCGTTTTCATTCCCTTTTTTAGGCTAGAAGACTTCGGAAAACATTAGGTGGTGGGATGAGGCAGGTTGGTTTCATTTGTGCCGCCGCATTGGTTGCTTTACGAGAGAATCTTGGAAAGCTTGAGCATGATCACATGAATGCAAAGGCGTTGGCGGGTAAAACTATCGGTTTCCTTGATTATATACGTCCAATTTTACGGTTCGGAAGAGCAGTCATTACTTTTATCGAGTGCTTTCCATCCATGAACTTACCTATAACCCTTCATCGACTTTATGCTGGTTTCTTTTATGGTTTCAGTGGGGCTGAATCAAATTGAAGGCCTTAGAGTGAACGCTGCTGCAGTGGAAACCAATATTGTGAGTATCCTAGTTATTGAACTTACATTAATGACAATCTTTCCCTTTGCTAATGCAATCCGAACGAGGTTTTACGGTTCGAGTTGTGATTCGGTTTATCGAGTAACAGAGTTTCGTCATAACACGGCCAAGGAGTGTTACGGAAGCTCTTAATGCTTACCGAGCTTATAATCTTCTAATTACTTGTCACCAGATATTTTTTGACATAACGGAAGGATCAAAAATCACGGCAGCAGAACTATACAAGCATTTAGCAGAACACGGTGTACTTGTCATGCCAGAGGGTCCATCCAGGTCAGTGTACTCCCTTGAAAATCACCTAGGATGTCGATTTTTCGATTTCACCGGAATAGTTCGAACTTGAAAGTATAACTCGAACCAAGTAAACCTGTATTGATCTTCCCCCTCTCAAAAAGTACCAGCTTACGACAAATGTATGCCGGAGATAGATATTTTAGAGAAAATAAAGGTTCGGGATAACATAGACTTGGGTCATCGGAGTAATCGTCGTCTCTTTTTATTTTTTGGTCATTCAGGATGAGAATTGTCCTTCACCACCAAATTTCATCAAGTGATGTTCAGTACACTTTGTCATGCTTTCAGGTGCTCAACTGCGTTTCCTTCCATGTTATTCCGACTCTTCGTATTTTCATGAAACATTTAGTGCATCTTCCAATATAAGTGTGACGATTAAAACCTCTAAATACATTTAAAAAATTAGATATAAAATACATATTCATATTCGACACTCATTTTTGTTCGAATATTGCAGCAAGCATTTAGTGGATTGCAAGAAGAAAATGGCAACTGAGACACAAATGGTATTCCTCTAATTACCCGCAGATCAGTACCCAATCCCATTTATCATAAATAATGACGTAAACTTTTCTTTATGGTTCATCGATTGGTAATTTGTGTATGCATATAATGTATAGTTTTTATATTTGTTTTCTTTCTATATAAACGCAGTTGCTCGAACTTATAACCTTTAAGAAGAATAATACTTCTTTTAATTCCTAAAATCAGATTTTTAGGTTATTCTATTTTATTCTTAAAAAGAAGGGTTAAAATGACATCGTATAATTACGTACTTCAATTTTATAATTAATATTATATTAAAATTAAAATTTATATCATTATGTAATTACAATTTATGGTATTAAACATAATATGAAGAATAATAATATAATTACATTTAGTCGATCAAACATGTATAAAGAATTACGGACAAGGTTCTTAACCTTTGGGTTGTGGGATCGAGTCTCACGGATGACATTTTATAATTCGGAGGTTTCTTACGAATGCTTCTCTCAACCTGACGTTGAGGGTAACCTACTATCTTACCTCCCCCTTACCCCATTACATATGGGAATAAGGGTCAGCTAAAAAAAAAATCAAACACGTCCATAATAACCAAACCAATAATTAAACTAATGAACGAATTTGATTGAGACAGAGAGTTTATCCAACTAATATGTTTAAGGTCAAAATTAAAATTTAACCCATAAATTAATAGTTCGGATAAATTACACCAGTAGTCATCAATATCACTAACATTTTAAACTTTTTTTCCTATTTTAGTAGTTGATTGTAAAAAGTTTAACAAGAATATTAACGTGATTAAAAAAAAAATTGTTGTAGAAAAATAACACGTGACCTGTTAATATAAGGAGAGAAAATGACATGTAGAATCTAAAGAAATTTTAAAAGAGAAAATAACCTCAGTGACCAAAAATCTCAGATAATATATGATTTTGATCAATTTTTTTTATTTACGAAGATGACCAACAAAATCGCAATGCGATCTCTAATTCGCATTGTGATCTCCACTATCGCAAATTCGCGTTGCGATAGTTGAAAACCGCGTTGCGATTTTTCATTTCGCGTTGCGATTTTCCATTTCGCGTTGCGATAGTCTACAGTTGTCGTTGCGATTTTCCAAATTCGTTGCGATTTTCTAAATTCGTTGCGATAGTCTACAGTTTTCGTTGCGATTTTTCCATTTCGCGTTTGCGATAGTTGAAAATCGCGTTGCGATTTTCTATTTCGCGTTGCAATTTTCCATTTCGCGTTGCGATAGTTGAAAATCGTAAACAAAATCGCGTTGCGATAGTCTACAGTTGTCGTTACGATTTTCCAAATTCGTTGTGATAGTTAAAAAAAAGATTTTGTTTCTTAAGAATTTTCTCTAAAAAGATAGTATCCGCGCGGACGTGTCGAAGACACGTATGACCACGACCACGACCACGACACGAGACGAGACGGACGGCGGCGACGCGTGAGAGTCCCCCTTGTTCTCTATCACTCAACAAGGAAGTGGGAAAGCCAAGCCTTAAATATCATTCCCAATAGTGTTTCCAATACTATGTGGGATTTGAGCATTACCAACACTTGTTCCCAATACTATGTGGGATTGAGCCTTAAATAGTGATATTATTTTTGAATGTTTTGCTTAAAATTACAATAATCACGATTGATTGTAGATTGACTTTTAATTATGACATATTTAATCGTATAATACTAATGCAATTGGTTGTTGATTCAGTTGTTTTAAGGTGCATGATTGTTAATTGTTTCCTGAATAATCACATTGTATTGGAAACAAGTGTTGGTAATGCTCAATCCCACATTGTATTGGAAACACTATTGGGAATGGTATTTAAGGCTTGGCTTTCCCACTTCCTAGTTGAGTGATAGAGAACAAGGGGGACTCTCGCGCACCGCCGCCGCCGCGTCTCGTCTCGTCTCGGGTCGTGGTCGTGGTCGTGGTCGTGGTTTTCAACTATCGCAATGCGAAATGGCAAATCGCAACGCGAAATGAAAAATCGCAATGCGATTTTTAACTATCGCAACGCGAATTTGCGATAGTGGAGATCGCAATGCGAATTAGAGATCGTATTGCGATTTTGTTGGTCATTTTCGCAAATCCAAAAAAAATTGGTCAAAATCGTATATTATCTAGGATTTTTGGTAACTGAGGTTATTTTCTCATTTAAAAAAAAAAACATCATATCAGCGTTACCATGGTGACCAAAGTGAAAGTAAGATGCCATTAACAATATTTTTATAAAAATAATTTGATAATTGAAATAAAAACAATTGACAGTAATTTAGTGACTATTAGTGTAATTTGACATTAAAATTTTAGTTAAAATTACCCCATTCTTCATATTATTAAAGTAATGGTTAAAAAGCAATGGAAATTAACAGACTTCCCTACAATATCTTATAAAACATCCACCATTGACGTCCCCTACTGTTTCGTCCTATAATCCTTCGTGTTCAAAAGTAACTTTCGTCGTTGGCTCTCGTGCGGCTCAGAGAGGTTCCTTCGTCATCATCTCCGACCTCCGCCGTCGAGTCTCCACCGCCAAAAAAATGGCAGTGCCGCCGATGCATTCGGGGTTTCTCGAGATCACCCTCGTCTCCGCCCAAGACCTCCACTCGGTCTCCAAAAACATGAAGACCTACGCCGTTGTTTGGCTCCAACACGACGAAAACAACAAGCAGGCCACGAATGTTGACCAGGCAGCGGAACGAACCCGTCGTGGAACCACACGTTCACCTTCCGAGCGAGTAACAAGTTCCTTAACTCGGAGGACGCCGCCATTTCCGTCGAGGTTTGTGCGGCTGCATGGAAGAAAGATGCTACGGTGGGATACGTTAACGTTCCCATAAAAGATATACTCGAGCTGCAGTCAATAGGTGGCGACGCCACCGGTACCGTTGCACCACCATTACGCCGTCCATCAGTAAAGTCGCACGGGGTTCTTAATATGGGAGTTTCCCTCAAGTCAGCAGTGGAAGACCATAGCGGCAGCTTGGTGAACGGGAGCTCGCTTTGCAACTCCGACGTCGGACCATCGGCGTCGATCGTGGCGGTGGCGATCGCGAAAGGATTGTATACCCCACCGGTTACTAATCCATCGGAAGAAGCAGAACTAATAAAGGAATGGACCAAGAAAGAGAGAGAGAAAGAAGCGTTGGAGAGACGGCAGATGGAAACCGAGCAGGTCCTTCTCCTCCGCTTCGTTCCAGAGCAGGAAACCGAGCAGAGAAGAGTAAAGGTACCAAGTTGTTCGCGTGTTTGGGATGTGAAATTGCGATTTCTTGCTGCGGCGGTGGCGATGAAGGTAGTAGGAGGAGGAAAAGTGGGAAGAAACGTGGAAACAAAGTTTGTAATTTAAGCTCCGTGGATAATTGTAGCCAATAATTTTGTTTTCAAAATGGTATTAATTTAATTCAATTTAATTTAATATATGTGTGAATTTTCAATTTAAATTTGATTGACTTCTTATTATGTATTAAAATATGTAATTCTTATTTTGTATTAAAATATATTCAAATTTTCATATTTTTACGTATAATAATAATAATAATAAATTAAAACTCAATCGATAATTATATATATATATATATATATATTAATAAATAAGAAATATTCGAGTCTGATTGAAGCACACTCTCTTGCTCAATGGGTCTCTTGCTCTAGTTCATCTTTGTCGTTTTCATACGATTGTACATATTGCATTTTTTCTGTTATTTTGATTAAAGTCGTTAATATATATATATAATTAAGACTTAAATATCACTACACTAATATATGTGAAAAATCTTCCATTAATTGTGTTATATTGTTTTATATTATATTTTGATTTAGTAGGATGAATTATTATAATTTCGAAGTTAGAAAATGATTCTAATGGTAAAGATAATATCGTCTTCTTATATAATTTAGGTTGAAGTAATTTTATCTATAGACATATGTGAATTTATATATATTACAACTGCTATTTGTAATCATAATAAAATATTAAAAAAATATTACACTAGTAAAGATGTTCATCAAACCTAAAATCAATTAATAATAATTATATAAGTTTTATATTGTTGCACTAAAAAGTAAGAAAATTTGTATACATCATATGTTCCATGTTAAAAAATATTTAATTTAAAAATTTAATATTGAATATTGATTAAATGAGATAATTTAAATAAAATAAATATTTAGATTTAAGAAAAATTGAATAAATGCAAATTATAAAACATATTTAAAATTTTAAAATTATAAGAGAAGATATAGGTAGTTTGTAGTTATTCTTATCCAATTCGTTTTATTCTTATCACTTTTTTTTTTAAATATGACGATGAAAAATAGTGCTTATTAACTAATTTATTTAAAACATATTTAATTTAATTCGATCATTAAAATTTGACAACTTCAATAGATTGAATATAAAAATTTTAAGAATCCAAACAAAAATCAACAGTATATTGAGAAGTTGATATCTAAGAATGAAATTAGGAGTAAGAAAGAACAATAAACCAAAACAACAAAATTAGCTGACCATATTCTCATATGTAATGAAGTAAGGGGAAGGTAGGATAGTAGGCTGCCCCCAACGCTAGGTTGAGAGCAACTTCCGTGGAAGACCTCCACCAATTATGAATTGCCCATCATGGGAATCAATCCCACAACCACAAGATTAAGAGTCTTGCGCTCTACCAACTAAGCTGGACAGACAATTCAAACCAAAATAACAAAATTGTGCATAAAACGTTTCTATAAAAGCAAATACTAGCATTTTCTCCATAAATCTATGAAAACTTCATACTTATTCATGATCACTGCAATGTTTGAAAAAAACACCTTTTGATCATCTTGTTTTTGCTTGTTTCTCTATCGATTCGCTAATACAATGACACAAAACGCAGCCATTCTGAAAGAACAAATGGCTTCAACACCATTTAATTTCCGGTTCCACAAACTAAAACACCCATATTTTACCTCCCATTTAGTATATCTTTTTCTTCTCCTTCTCAATTCCCTCCAAAGTAAACATATCCGTTGCCTTGATTTGGTGAAGAACACTTTCAAAAGTGAAATTCGACGAGTCGGCATATTCATTGTCAACTAGATTTATGAAGGGAACTTACTGTATTTTTACTATCTTCTTCAACTGGTCTAATATCCTCGTTTTAAATTGATGGGTTGAAATAATCCGAGAGGAAAACAAGTGCAATTTATTATCTTTACTTTAGAATCTTGTTTGGTTTCCGAGGATTCATTATCAGGCAAGAAAATCCAATCATCATTAATGTTGATTTCCTCGTTAACCTTGTCGGTATCTATTTTTTGATGAATCATTATAGGGAATAAAAAAATAAAATCTAATAAATGAGAGTTTATAGTTTTTTATTTGTAGGATCAAATATAATGCATTTTCATGGATTTTTTTTTCAATAAATTTACACCAGTGAGAGCAAAGGCCAAAGCCCAAATGAATATATTTAAAATTTATTGATATATTTGTATTATGTTATTTTGAATTTCTTTTTGATAATGGTATTTTAATTTATTAAATGTAAATTAAATATATAAATAAATTTATGATCTTAATTTATATGTACTTTTCATCAAATTAATTTTTTTTAATTTTTTTAAGAAACTAAGTCATAATATTAATATTTTTGTCATAAAAATAGGAAAGAAAAAGCTAGCCTAGGCATATTCTTTTCTCTCTTTTTCACTCTTATTACAATGATATACTCATCCCTATTTATAGATTTTAGTGGTCATTAGATTGTTAACACATGTTAACATGTTAGTCATTTAACATTACAAACATCTAGATTCTTCTAATAGATAATTCTAAATATAATATTAAATAACACAAATATCTAGATTATTTTATGGATATTTCTAGATATCTATCCTTTCTATATTAATATAGAATATTCCCAAGATATATCTCCTAAATGATAATTATATATTTACGTAGAATTTGTATTGTATTTCAACAGCAATTTTCAATTAACCTTATCTTCAACTATTTAATCTTTTAGTCCCTAAATTTAATATGATCATGCCAAAATGCATTAAATACCTCATAAATTATCATATAACATGCTTAAAACAAAGTATAACATGTCTCCAATCTAAGTATATAGCACATATATTCACCATGTCTCACAATAGGCCATAATTAAAATGTATTTGTCCATTTATTTTGAAACTCCATTCTCAGTCTTGTTTTAATCATGTCAATAATTTTGGGCATACAACATTTCCAATAGCTCTATAAATTTGGGTGGTAGTTTTTACAGTTGTGTCAATAGCAAAGTAAGAGGATGGTACACTTATTTTCGGCTTTTTTCTTGTAGAATTCCTCGTTCTCCATCAGTGTTTTTTTCTAGATCCTCCCTAAACTTGCAAATTTCCCTATTTGATGCATTTTGGGCAAACTTAGCATGTATTTCAGTCTTCTTACATGCCACTCGCTCCTATTTCAACTATGGTTTGAGCCTCGCGGTTGATTTCATCTTTAACTCAACCTATGGAAATACCCTTGTTCATTAATTCACTCTAGTTTCAAGAATAAATTATACACACTAACAACAATCTAGAATGAATTATACACACTAACAACAATTTATAAAAATGAGATGTAAAAATAGATAAAATATGCATAATCAAATTAACAATACCATCTTTGTAACCCTCTAGACCCAACCTATATGTTACAACTAGATCTAGCGGATTACATTAACGATCTTAAAATAACTTAAATCATAATAATATTAAATAAGTTAAAATAAATAATATAAGACATAAAATATTAAGTGTATAACAAAATATAGAATACCGAAAGTAAACCAAATACCGAGTATCCCATTAACCCGTAAATCAATAGTAAATCAAAATATGACATAAAACATATAACACCGAATAATACATGCACATGTCGCCAAATAAGGGTAGTTTGGAAGATATAAACATTACAACAAAATTACTATAGGTAATGTGTCAGTCACTTTTGCTGCACCAATTCCCTACCATCGTCATCTCCACCAATCACACGCCGATCACTATTGCTACTCCAACACGCTACCATCAAGCGGTTTTTTTTTTTGCTTTCTCATGTGTAACAAGGGTTATAAAACCCCCAGCAGAGGATGTAGAGGGGCCTCTTTCCAAAAAAAAAGAGATTAGCAAGAAATCAAAAAATCATAGGTTTTTTTAGCATTTTGAATGTATCTTTTCGGATTTTCATTTCTGTTTCTGTTTGTGTGCATATGTGTCAATTCAAAGCAAAAATAAAGTTGAGAGAGTTAGATCTATTTACCTGAGTTTGTAGGGGTCTTCGTCGGAGAGGTCAACTGTAACACCCCAATTTAGGGGTTAAATTTTAAGAATTATAAAGTGGTGAATTTAATTTGGTATTTTGGAAGAAACAGAGGATTAAATTATAAAATTTCAACGTTGGAAGACCATTTTAAGAAGTGCAGGAAGTTCATGACTAAACTCATGGTTTACCCATTTTTCTTTATAAGAAAATATAAACCCCTTTCCCCATGCGCACATTTTCCAGTTTCCCTTCTCCAACAACCCTCCTTTCAACTCCGATCTACTCGTCGTCCGACCTCCGATCGACGAACTGAAACCACCATCGTGTTGGTTGTCGACCGAGGAACAAAACCCCTCAAACCTTTCGTCGTGAATCGTCGCCGTTCGTCGTTAATTTCAGTCGGAAGTATCGTCGGTAATAACTCAATTTCAGTTGTTTTTTCATCAATTCACGACGATCCGATAATCCGTTTTTGACACCTCCCGTACCATCGTGCTCCTTGCATCGTTCCGAGTCCACCGGTGTTCTTCGTTTCTCCGTCGTCGCCAGCGCATGGAGGGGTGAGACCATCAAAGTTTCTGACGTTTTGGAATCGAGCTCTCCACCGTTCAAAATTGTGAACCGAGCTTTGTAAGTGCCTCAAAATCGCTTAAAATAATTTTTAGGAATTTTTCGGGAATTTTCAGACACCATAGCACTGTTCACGCGCCACACGTGCCACCCCTGAGAGTGGGCATCGTCTGGGTGTTAATTTTGTAATTAATTTCTGTTTGGGTGCTATTTGTGTAAAATCTGGGTGTTAGTTTCGTAAATATTTGCAGAAGGTGGCTAATTTTGTAATTAATTTCTGTTAGGGTGATATTTGTGTAAAATGGTCGACTGTTGACCGTTGACATGCATTGACTGTTGATCGGCGTTGACCACATTTGACCAAAACTTTGACCAGCATTGACTGGGCATTAAACGACCTTTGACTTTGACTGAGTATACCTATCTTGACGTTTTTCGACGTTCCAAGTCCGATTCTGCAGTCTATTTTTTGAAATTCAAACCCGAAG